ACCATACGGCTCCGATTTCAGAGTCCCCAGCAGGTAGTGGTTAAATCCATGTGGCAGTATGTGATTTACGCAGCGGGCATGATCACTTTTCAGCAGGCATTATCAAATGTTGACATACATGCACATTGTTCAATAAGGAGACCGTCTAATGTATTCATGAATAAATGTTTTCACATTTGTATGAGATTTTTTAAACACTTTGTAAATTATCCATGTACCTACCGGTACATTGTACATGTATTATGCCTTATAATGCACTGAAGGGATCAACCAACCATGGAAACAAATATTCCTGAATAAATTCAAATGAATCCGTAGAAACATCTGTTCTTTATTGTGTTTATAGTATTCTGTTTTGTTAACATAATTATGCCACAGTCATGTGAGAAGAAAAAGAGAATCCCCGCAAAACAGAGAAATCAGAGCTTGTACACTACTACATGCATGTACAGGTAGCTACACATTTTTTTTTTCAAGCTGCTAAAATCACAATTTTTGGCTGGATTTGGCCAAGAGGCAGCAGATGTCTGGGCTATGAGGAGCCTTTCCTGACTGCAAGTACATGTACATGCATTGTCATTTTTGTGAAAATGCTCTGACTTGGAATAAATTTGATATTTTGGGGGGCTTTCTTTTTATTTTTGGACTTACCTGTACCTGTACAGTGTGGTCTGGTGACTTACCGTTCCTTATTTGGATCTGATATTCTTCAACAGAAACATGAAATTTGGATACTGTTTTATATGAAAATTTGAAGCTGTATTTGGTAACGTTGTAGGCAGCTGATATGGATGGAAATTAAAATACGTGTATGTGTCATTAGGTTCCCAGGGGATTACTTTGTACGAATTTGAATATTGTCTGTAGATGATATTAATCTTGAACTAAGTCAAGATAGAGACAACCAGCTGGTAATTGGTAATATACATGTACCTAACGTACGGGCACCATACGACCCAGATCCTACTTGGGACATTTTGAGGTGCCTCAATACTAAACGACACCAGTAGGCCCACACAAACTCTAGCTTTCCAAACTTGCCCACAGAAGTTGAAAGAGGAAATACCACTTCACCTCTTAAGAACTCCAACCTGTATCCCCGATATCTTGTGTGATGACATTAAGAGTAGTCAAAATATCGATCCAACACTTTAGAAAGCAAGAGAGATGGCTTCAAAGAAGTTGGATAGGGCAGACAAAAACGGTCACATGTCCCACTTTATGTATCAAGATGGTTTCCTCTACCGCAAGTTTCAATCACCTGGAATTTAGCGCAATGTGTTTCAGCAGCTAGTTGTACCATCAAAGTACCGGGAACACGTGATGAAAATCACATATGAAGGTCTCCTTGGGGGGTCACCACAGTGCAAAAAGACAACTGACAAGATACTTGCCAGTTTCTTTCGGCCAGGTGTCCAGGCAGATATCATCCAATTTTTTCGATTGTGCCATGTATGCTAACGTATGATACCGAGTCGGTCTGGTGGAGTCAGTAGGACACCACTCGGTACAATGCCATTGATTAAAACTCCATTTCAAAGGGTGGCTGTGAACATCGTGGGACCCATTCATCCTATCACTGAGAACGAAAACAGGTATATACTAAACCCTTGTGGACTTTACAACCAGATACATGTATCTAGAAGCAGTTCCTCTTCCATCAATAGACAACTACATGTGGAGTTGCAGAGGTACTCACCAAGATTTTTCACAAAGAGTCGGTTTCCCTCAAGAAGTCCTTACTGATCAGGGAACACAGTTCACCTCCGAAGTGATGAGGCAGATCAGTTGTCCCCTGTCAATTCGACAGTTGAAGACAACCTAGTCTAGGTCTAGCAGAAAGATTCAATGGCACACTCAAGACTACGTGTATGCTGAAGAGAATGTGTGCAGAAAGACCACATGACTGGGACTGATATATTTCAGCCCTCCTCCTACTGAGAGGCACCTCAAGAGTCACTGGGATTCTCACCCTTTGAGATATTCTATGAACCACCAGTTAGGGGATCATTGGCAATATTCCAAGAACTTTGGTCAGGAAACGTAAAGGGTGAAAACAAAGTGAAGAGTACAAATCACCTTGTCCTTGATCCACATCAAAGACTTGAAGATACATGTCAAATGGCGCAAAAACTACTAACAAAAGCAACAGGCAGGTATCTGTAACCCCGACCCACAACAGGTCTGGTGTTACAGCCACTTGGCATTCATTGCTTCTACCGTGTTTCACATGTAGCTTGTTTTTATTTACTGCAAACCTTTATGTGTTGTTATGCTTACACAAGAGTTGACTCTCTGTTTAGGGCTCTATTTCAGAAAAGTTGAGCCATCAACTCAGTTTACAGGAAGTTTGGGCTGTCCCTTTCAAGCAGTCTGACGGGACCAGTCCGGAGTAGCCAGAGTAAGCCGGGTCACTACAAGGAGACTGTAGCCCCTTCCAAGTAGTACACTGGCAGGATAAAACACAACAGGTACACGCACAAGGCACCCCAAGATTGCGACAAATACCCCAAGGATACTTCAGCCTACTCTGAAAGAGCTTAAAGGAGATGACCCTCTCTCGTTTGGAACTGGGCCTTTTTTCCCCCCTTTCTATTGGTGCCACAAATCTATTTGTAAGAGGATTGCAAGCCATTGCCTTTGATTAATGTTTGAGTTAAGTCCTGTGAATATCACTTTCAAGCAATAATTGTATAAAACAGAATAGCAAACCGCGCACACAGATTTTGACTGGAGTTGTCACTTATTCCAATAGGAGTTGATTTAAAGATTGGTTCCTGCTGATTGGAAGTAAACCTTGGGTTACATACATGTGTTACATTAAGTGTTTCAAGGTGGGAAGTAAAGTATTCCCTTTTTACTGAGAAGCTACTGCTACAATGGAGGGGACCATTCACTGTTGTTGAGAGACCCAGTCAAAATGATTACAAGATTGATGTGAACAGCAAAAGCAGAACATCCCGTACAATGCCAACTTACTGAAGCAGTACACTGTACACAGAGACATGAGGAGAGCAACAGCCTTAAGGAACTCCCTGATGTGGATGCAAACGTCCAACTGACAGCTTGCACTTTTGCAAGTGTCTGCACAGCAACTGCTGAAGAGGAAGATGACTTTGATCAGCGGAATGATGGAGATCAATTTAAAAACATCATTTTCCTTTACCTGTGTTAGCAGCCAAGAAGACTGTGGATGGTGTTCAGATCTGTGAGAACTTTCACTGTGAACAGGAGGCGAGGTTAGATGGTTGATGGGTTGTTTCAGGGATGTATTAACTGACCTACCTGGAAGAACATCACTAATGGCTCATGACATAAAATTGACCACAGATAGTATGTATTTGATGCCGGCTGTATCCTCTTCCTCATGCTATGTGAGATTCTGTTGAAAATGAAGTTCAGACAATGTTGGAATTTTTGTAGAGCGATCTGACTCATCATACGCCTTCCCAATAGTACTTATAAAAAAGATGGCAAGAATCAATTCTGCATATTTCTCTATCGATTTCCGTAAACTAAAAAAGGCGACAACTTTTTGACATTGAACCCATACCAAGCACAGAAAATACCGGTATCTTTGCTTCCCTTGCCATAGATGTACACTGTACTTTACAAAAATAGACTTGAGCAACAGTAACTGGCAGATCCCTCTGAAACCAGATGTAAAGAAAAAGACATCATTCATCACACCGTCGCATCTATACCAGTTTCGGGTGATGCCATTTGGACTGGTGAATGCTCCGGTAGCATTTAGCTGACTCATGTGGAAGTTGTTATTTGGCATGCAATCTAGACACAACTTCATAGATGACATACTCGTTCATACTTGGAAGGACCATGAGGGTAGTGAAGGAATTATTGAAACGACCCAAAACAGCCAACCTTATCGCAAAACCATTGAAGTGTTTCGTAGGATTCAACAAGATTGACTTCCTTGGGCACATAGTGGGGCATGGAAGATTAGAGCCACACCCTGACAAGCTCAGTAAAATACAGTCAGTACCACGCCCCAAGACGAAATGCCAGCTCTGCTCCTTTCTTGAATTAGAGGGCTACTATAGGAAATTTGTCCCTAATTTTGCTTCTGTTATGGCACTACCAGTACCTACTGCACTGACAGGACGAAATCCAATGAGCCCAAAAAGATCTGACAGGAAGAGACTGAGAATATCGCTTACAACACTTATTCAGCAAACTGATGACAGAACCAATCTTACATCTTCCAGACGTCAATCGTCCCTTCATATCACGAATGGATGCTTTTGACATTGGCATTGTCCTTATGCAGGAATCTGAAGATCAGAGCAATAACTTTCCTATAGCATATGCCAGCAAAAAACTTCTGCCATGGGAAAAACTACTGGATGACAGAGACAGAATGTCTAGCCTACTGTACAGCTATGGGGGATTAGACATTTCCAAAAATATTTGGAGGGCAGAGAATTTACGCTTGAGGCGGATCACTAGTCACTCATGTACAAATGTAGCTACAACAAGCAAAATATGTGCTAGGTGCTATCCTTCAACCATTTCGATTTTTTCTATACAGATTGGTTTCGATAAAGGACAAAGACAAGGTTGGAGCTGATTACTTCAGCTGAATTCCACTGTAAGAATCGGAAACGAAATCTCACAACAATTAACATCATCAACAAAATATGGTACAATTTTTTGAAAGGGGAGCCACTGTTGTGACACTGATTTAAAATTTCATAAAAAGGAACCACAAATGACTACATGAATTAAAAAAGTACATGTAGGTTTTAAATTGTACTAAAATTTCATAGAAAATGTGCTGTTTCAATGCAAAACATCAGGAATTGCCTACAGCATGCATTGACCGTACCAGTGACCACTGTAGATTTCCTGAAGTGCCAGCTGCATTGATTTAGCCATGAATTTTTACACACAGCTGCCATCCACATCTCTAAAAGCTCCAAACTCCTGGGCCAACAGGAAATATTTTGTTTTATGAAGTGGTCTGATGAAAGACTGTGTGGTGTTAAACTAAAATTATTTCCAGCCAAGTCAGATATAGTAAGCCCCTTTGACTTCGTTGGCAGGGCACTAAAAAGGGGGAAAAAAGAATTCCATATTACTTTTTCTAGACATCTTGTTTCAAGTACACAGACTTCTGGAGAAATTTTGGGCTCAGTGGAGCAGTATTTCAGAGTACACACCGACCAAAAACGTGTTTTCCATGATTCAAAGTGATGTACAACCTATGGGACGAGGTTCATTGGAGCAAAGTATGACAACAAAACACGTACGTACACATCATGACGAAAAACCCCATTTTCTAGTCCTGATTATTTCCACTCAGAAAGAGTTCCAAGTTCAGAAAAACTTGCATGACAATAGTGGTTGATGATCTTGGAAAGCATTAAGTGAACGGTAACTGCGGTACATCAGCCCTGCCAACCTCTTGAATCACAAAACTGTATTCTGCAAATTCAAAAGTCATAATTTTCATTAAAAAAATTGTATTTTGCCTAAAATGGGCATAGGCCTATTCCTCCGCGTGATTATTTTGACCGCTTGTCTGGATTGCGTTCTGTCTGAGTAACTCAAACTAGATTGCGTCAACATTTCTTCATGCATAACATAATCGCACAGGAAATGCATTATCGAAGTTGAAGAGTGAAATGGCCCTATTCCCACCTGAATGATCACGTTTTCAAAATCTGTAATCTTGAAATGTGTGTTGCAAGTCCAGGTTTTTGGAATTTCCTGGCACGGATTTTGGCACCTGCTCGCTGGCCGGCCGTAATATGTCTCCATCCTTTTTCATTTCCACAGATATTTAACTTGAGGATCAGCGTCGTCAAAAATTGCATTAAACTCGAACCCTCTTACAGGTGTTGCACTGACATATTGATGACCCTTTGTCCAAAATTTGTTTGAAATCTTGTAAAAAAACGACACACACAGAACCTGTAAAAGCCGTGCAAAATAGCTAAATCTTCCTAGTTGGCTGGACTTCTACATGTACATGTATATGTACATCACTTCCTGGATTCAAGGGCAAAATCACTCCTGTGCCTGCACACGCTGACCAGTGTTGCACAGAGAAATGAAAATGAGGACCCACTTGCTCCAAGAAAAAAAAGCTAGGCACCAGGTCGATTTTTGTACATACATGTACTATATACACATTTGCAAAATACACAAGTTACATGTACAAAATCTGACAAAACACACAGAAACATTATTCGGTCAATTATCTACAGGACAAAACAGGCTTTGGATTTTGTGCTAATGGGCTACATGTACATGTAAGTAACAAATTGCAACGAAATATGAAAAAAAAACAGCTGAGAGAAATGACAAGGCATACATGTACATGTATTTCTTCTCTTGCATTTACATGTACATGTAAGTACTTCGCACCTGGTACCTTTTAAACTGAAACAAGTTTATTGCACAAGAATTGTGGCATGCATAGACTGCCAGTGCATTAATGAATACGCGATTCATTCAAGCAACCAATTTTCACGAAACGTGCTGTAACTTTGAACCATGCGAGAGCAAGAACCTTAAACAAACATTCAAAAGCTAGTCAAATTGTTCATTTTCTCTTTGTTCAGCGCAACTTATGCTGCACCACCAGTCCACCTACATGTAAGCTAAAATGTGCTTAGGTTATGCCATAATTTCAGTGTGAACGTTCCATGAAATCACTCTTAATTTGTTGTGCAACGTACATGTATGCAATAAAATGTGGTGTAAGTTATGCCAATGCATAAAGATTCATGAAATTGGCTGCTGGTCTGAAAATGTAGCAAATTATAGTAGGCCTACAGTTTGGACATAACAATAACATAATTATTACGCCCCTACTCTAGCATTAGTTCCAACTTCAGTGCTACAGTTGGGCTGACTCAACTAAAGCACAGAGGTCCAGTCCAGCATTTCCAGGGTGGCATGTGCCAGGGCATGTGTCAAACCATGGAGGAATTCCTCCATGGTCAAAGCTAGTCCAAGAACATGTACTATGATGTAGGCCCTAACTTGGACCCTACAAATTCTGTACAATTGCCTTTTTTTAAATATTTGGACATCGTCAGGCAATAGTACTAGGGTCCAAGTACCTTCCATAGGCTTTTGCTTCAATTAATCCATTTCACTCATGCGGGGGACAACTGTTTCCTGAGCAGCGTAATGTTGGGCGTACAGTTTCAATATGGTCACAGCTACCAAACTTTGCACCACTCAGTGAACAGTCATCAAGGCTTGTGTGCCAACACATCCTGCTTTCTGTAAATAGTCTACTAGGCCGGCACGCAATGTCTTCAAAGAGGCATCAATATAGGTCAAATCGCAATTTGAGGAAAGATGGCATCTTTGAGCTCGTCGACAAGAGTGTTTCCAATTTGCAGGAGAAATTTTTCTTTTCTTCCCATAATTTTATGTGAGTAGGCCTAAACAATATTGGCCTTAATAATATTATCATTAATTGAAATCTCTGATTCTCAATCCATAGATGGGCACATTAGACATTTTAAGGACAGTTTTAGAGGTGAATTCGGAGGATTTTTATTTGGGGTATGAGCCATTTGAGTGAAATGAATTAATAATTATAATGGAAATTGGAATTATTTCTGTCCCCTCAGCAAAAGCCACCAGCATGACTAGAGCCTACCATGGAGGAAGGAACCCCCCAACCCACCGTGCCTGTGTCCAAATGTCATGAATGTTAATTAAATTAAAAGAGGCAATGTAGAGTCCTAGTTACTCGGTCAGACTACCATGACTACAAGTAATTTAGTCTCCCTCTTCTTTACCTGCTATACCGAAAACCACTGCCGAAAACAAAAACAGCAACATTGTTCACGATATTTTAGGCTCCATCAACCATGGAGGAAGGAGCACATGACATCGAAAACGCTTGTTAAATAACCCGTGACGTACGTACGTGCGAGACGAGTGGTAACTAATGGTATCGTGGTCAAATATTGCAGGAAGGAAAAGCAGCTGCCATTCTAGTTCTACTAGTCTTGGATCCAAGACGTTCCTATCTGTGTTCTCGCGGTAAACATTGCCAGTCAACAGAGGGCGCTATGTGGCGGCCGATTTTGCAAGATTACGCATAGTACTTTACTTTCAGGTTCTATTCCAGACCTGGTACTATACTAGCTACCGTATTAGGATACTCCCGTATCCTAATGGCAGCTGTTTATCACTGAAATCGAAGGTCGCCTTGGCCGAAATGCCAAGCGAAATGCAGAATATGACTTTCTTCGACCAATGCAGGCTTTGCACATGAACATGCTCTCACAGTGGGGATACACTTGCGAAATTGCCCACTGGGTATGGGAAAAGCCTCTCCCGGGTGGATTCGTCAGTGGTAGCCGAACACACCTTGGGAGCTGGTCATGAACCTAACTGGGATGGCGTGCAGTGTGTCGACCAGGACCAGCATTGGTACGCCAGACGTATCAAGGAGGCCATCCACATCCGCCTCAACCGACACAGCATCAACAGGGACAGCGGCATCGACATCCCTGGGTTCTGGCTCCCCAGTTGAGTGAGTTGGAATAACTGAATAATTGGGGAATTTCAGACTCTCATCCCATTATTGGGAGAGAATAGTCGGTATGCCCCTGTAAAATGGTACAGTGTACATTCCTCTGATAGTTTCCAGTAATCTTTACTGTTTTTGCGACTTCCTTCCAAATATGGTCGTGTTCTCTGCCCATACATACAAGAGCACGAAAAAAAGGAGAGCGCCCCTTTTGGTTTGTCCGTGGGAGCCGCTATCTTGTCTATACAGCAGGTTGCATTGCACTAAACGCGCCCAGATATACTCGCGAAGACCACTAGGTCCTATTCAAAACTACACGGGCTTTTTGTGATCTGCGCGGCGCCCGACTAAAAATACAAACTATAGGCAAATTCACCCATCAGTAGAGGGAATTTAAGCACTCTTAAAGAATTCCAGCCATACAATTCTATAATGCCATTTTTTTATTGTAAAAACCCTTTATTTACTTAATCTGGCCCATAGGGATTCAAACAATGTGGTTGCAAAAGTTGAAAAGAAAAGATTATGGTGTACTATTTACGACACTCATTTCTCTCTCCCCAGTCTCCCTCCAGGCGACGCAACTACACGACGCAACGCACAACACGAATTATGACGCGACGCACGACGGTACGACACGTCGTGTGTGTACAAAAGTAATGGCAAGAAGGCGACGGTGCGACCCGACGGCACGACGCAAGGGAGCCGTCGTGCCTTAGTGTCGTGTCGTTGTGTCGCCTGAACGGAGGCTAGGGAGAGAGAGAAACATGTGTCGTAAATAGTACACCATAGATCCGTATGCATAATGCCTGATTTTAAATACAGGGAAAGAGGTGGTTTTTCAGTACACTTGTATTAGTCAGACGTTTGTAGTGGTCAATATCCGCAAGCAGGTCACCAGTTGCTCCATGAAGCTATTAAAAAGGTTGCTCGTCAGTTTACAAACACGGATTGCTGTTCATCGGCTTTCCCAGAACGCCAACCCACTTGAATCCAAGACTACAGGATAGCAGCCACGGAACACGGCTAGGCTCGCTGTGTGGCAAACGTGCTTGTGCGGCGTACGTGTGACCGTGGCATATTTCTACAGTTTAATGGAATCAACGACATGTGAGATTCTGGCTGATCTTCGCACTTTTGGGACGGAACAAACTGGTAAAAATAAAACTAGCAATAAAAAAAAAAACCAACATCACCATATGAACGGTTTGTGTGTACGTCTTGCTTACAGTTCAAAAATCTAAAGGAAACAGCTTTTGCCACATGGCATCAGTATGGAATTACATATCTGCCGTCGTCCGTCGCCTTTTGCTTTTTGTTGCGTCCCAATTCTGCCATTTATCAGTTCCAAACATGCAATTTTCCGTCGTGCGTCACGCGTCGCCCGTCATGCGTCGTCCATCAAATGGGTTGCATAGGGCCTGCAAAAGCCGGGGTTTAACATATGAAAATGTGATGATTCCATTCACTAATAAGGATCTTTTCCTAATAGGCAAGCACAAATCCCACCTGCAAAGCAAATATTAGTCCCATATATGGAATTCCATATCTGCCGTCGCCCGTCGTGCATCGCCCATCAAATGGGTTGCATAGGACCTGCAAAAGCCCAGGTTTAACAAATGACAATGTGATGATTCCATTCACTTCGAAGGATCTTTTCCCAATAAGGCGAGTACAAATCCCACCTGCAATACTAGTCCCATAATTAATTCCACTAATGTTAGACTACCCTTGCCCCTTGACAAGAAAATGTCGCCTTTCTGAGAATTCAGCCAAGTGTTTTGGGGGGAAAAACATTTTCAGCGAAAAATGTTCAGGTCAACATATCCACAGTGTTATTCTAATTTGCATACTTTCAAAATATGCCGACTTGTTTTCATCAAATTCCAGAAAGAAATCTGCCAGCTGATACAGATATTCCATTTTGTCCTCTCAATTTCACCTTGAAACCCGGAAATACTAGACAGTGCTGTGATTAACAAACTGTTTATTTAATGTGTTGTTAGGGGGCAATTACCACGTTGTTTAAGTTTCAGAAAATGTGACGCGTTGGTTTTTGTGAGTGTGTATGCCATGGTGGATAGACCAATGNTTGTCCAGCATATCAACATTCTGGGGCTAACAAGTAACGTTAATGTTTACACGACTTCTGTGAGCCCACCTGCAGCTCTTGTCATGCCTAATTTGGAGTATACGGCAGATTTCATCATAGGTATACCCGCCCTCAAAATAATGTTGAATCAGTTCGTCTATTATGAAAACTAAATCAAGCATTGTAAATAATTTATTATTTACATTCAGTTCTGTGGGATATCGTGCAGGGACAGACAGAAATATTACACAGGCTAACGTCAGGCCGTTTTAACGAGTAAAGTTACGTGTAGTTATCGAGAAAAACAATCTAGACCAATAAAAGTCTATTTTGTTAATTTATTTATGTAACAAAAAATGACATTATTTCATATACACGTCACTTTACCGATGTCAGTCTTTAAAAATGAAAGGGTGTTATTTTTTCTTTCAAGTGGAGTTCGGCCCAACTGCAAAAACGAATACATCTTCTAGTTCTATTGCTAAAATGAGAGTCAGGCACAAGGGATCGATCGAACAAGTACATGGACATGAAACGATCAAGGGTCAAAGTTAAAAATACCACTGCGCAATCGAGACCCCCCCCAAAAAAACGGACGACGTACGACGGGCGACGGCAGATATGGAATTCCATACATCAGCCTCGTCATGTGCAAGTATACATCTAAAAACATACATGTACTATGTACATGTAGGCCTGCACGTACGTGCGTGCAATTTCATGTAGTACGCCGGACCGGTGATCGACCGGGAGTTTTACAAAATCACATTTTTGCTAATCCCTAAGGGTGGGTGGATGGATAAAAACAAATTGAAAAAAAATCGAAATTTAAAAACATTGAAAATCTTGCATAACCCCTAAGTTACCATGAAGCTTATCTAGATTGTACATATATGTGATATAGATATTATGATCTAGAAGTGCTTTAGACTTGACCATGTCGGGATTCCCTGTGACGTTTTTCTTCGTAATTTAACGTACGTTTATGTTTTGGCTAAAGAGGTTTTGAACGCTGCGCGGCGGTATTTGCTTAGCGCCCTCTTGTGTCCTCTTATTACCGTGCGTCAGAAATCCCTGTTTCACAGGTTCTCGAGGTCATGGTCAAGACCTGTGCCGGTCTGATAAATTGTTTTGCAAGGAAATCTGCTTGAAAGAATCCAAACAGACAGCTTCTTACGTTGGTCCTTAAATAATCTTTTTGCCAAAGTTTGTCCAAAATACAATCAGGCAAAGTACATTATGATATACAAGAAAACACACCACCATTTTTCATTCATGCATTCATTCATGCATCCATGCATCCATCCATCCATGCATCCATCCATCCATCCATCCATCCATCCATCCATCCATCCATCCATCCATCCATCCATCCATCCATCCATCCATCCATCCATTCATTCATTCATTCATTCATTCATTCATTCATTCATTCATTCATTCATTCATTCATTCATTCATTCATTCATTCATTCATTCATTCATTCATTCATTCATTCATTCATTCATAGATGGTTTATTTGAAATTAAAATTTACATCAAACAACTAGTCGAGGATTAAACATGTTTATTTACAGACTAAATACCTATACATATAAATATACTCCATAAAAACACCATAAAATACCAACATGTGCCATAAAAAATACATCATACGGAAATAGTAACATTTAAATAGATAACACTACATAAGTCAGGACATGCATTAATTAAAGTAACCATGTATGGCACTGCTGACTTTTTGTACCGCTGAGTACGACAGCGCGGAATTTGTGAGAGTTGGGAATGTCTTAGCCTGCGTTCAGAGACTTCATTATGTGTACTGGGCAATAAATGACGATATCTAGTAGAATTAGAATACCACTACCAAGGCGTATAATCAATTGATCACGTCTGGAGACAAGATTTGGCAAAGAAAACAATTCTAAAAGCTGAGAATATGAAAAAATGTTGGGATAAGCTATTATCCTCAATGCTCGTCTCTGGACACTCTTAATATTATGGGATTGTGCCACAGTAATAGAAGAGGACCAGACAGCTGCTCCAAACTCAAGAAATGGGTGAATGTACATTTTATAACTCAACACTAAATCATCAGTGCTCGCACCGTTCTTTTTCAACATACTTAATATGAACAGCCGTCTGGAAGACGTTGTAATGCTCCTCCCTACCTGCTCATCCCATTTCAGCGTGTTTGTAACAGAGATACTAAGGAGTTTAACTGAAGAAACCATCTGTAGCTGAGTGTAATCAATAACTACATTGGGGGAGGTGGTAAATTACGATGAAATGAAACTTGTATGGTTTTGCATTATACAGGATTCAACTTCATATCCTTCTCCTGACACCAATTAGCAATGGAGTCTAAATAACCCTGCAAATT